TTCTGGATAGAATCTATTGCTGTTAAAGACTTGATGAAAATTAAATATACAATTGCTTTTCAAATCCATTTTGACAGGCAAATTTGAATATACTAGTTGCCTATGGACTTTTGTCCTTTGRAAAAAATCCAAGCATAAGTTCACTAAGAAAGCATTCTGAATCAATCACTTTGTTTCCATTGTGATCACTTTGTGATCACTTTGCTTCCATTTTTCCAATAAATCAATGGTACTTAATGCATCCACAATTACACAGTGCCAAATGAAATGTTGTGCATTTACTCAAGTAACAGACAAGTGTCATGTCCTCAGGTATCTGGCAGATTTTACAAGTTGAAGGACTAGAAAAACACTCAGATTTCATCTTGGTGATCTTCTACRGTATCTAATATTCTGTCTGTCAAAATATCTGCATAAATAATTTAAAATACTCTTTTCAGATAAAAAATTTAGAAAAAGAGACATGAAAGCAGCAAATTATKCAGCTACCCTGATACACAGTGAATGCTGTAAGTCTTTTTGCTATTTTTATTAGTTTCAGTTTTAAGAGATCCACGGCCTCCTGTCATTGCTCAATACAAAAGTWAGTAGAATTCTTCAATTCTTCAATTTATGTAGAGATAATGAAAAATCTTCCTCAAACATTGGAAGAGGAAGTGAGTAAGTTTCCAAATTAAAAGCAACCCTGAAAAACAGACTRGCTTTCTCCATAAAAAGACGGAAAAAACCTGACAGAAACATGGAAATACTGACTACATTGAACTGAAATTTTATAAGTCCCTAGACAGATTTTTTGCTGTGAGATATTTTTTTACAATCATGATAAGAAAATAGCAGCAGGAAATAACATGAAGACAGCCATACTGTCTCATTTCAAAGGTATATTTAGCTGTGGGTTAAGCACACAGGCATTTGGATTTGCAGGTCTCAAGTGACTACCTGTAGTGCTGGGCTGGAAGAGATAATAACTTGTGGATTACCACACGTCTTCTCAACATGCTCATGACTTTATACAACTCCTATCATCTTTACTTTGTTCCCCTTCTTTTAATGAGCATCACAGGCAGAGAAGTCAGTCCATTTAGTYATTCTTTGTAGCAAAGCTCATATCTCTATTTAATTGCCTATGCAACACCTCTGGGTAACTCTTCTGTTCTTTCCATTTACTGTCAAGACAAGGAAATCAGAAAGGCAGTTTTCCATGCACAGGTGACGCACAGAATTAAACAGAGGGATGACAATGATCTGTATTATTTCTATTTCCTCTTGTAAAGATTCTTGAGAGGAAAGAAAGTTGCGGTCTCTTTACTTTTTGACTGCTGGCAAGCAAAAAACTGCTGGTTCTATAAAGCTAATTGCTGGTAACAGTGAGATGGAAAGATCAACTCAGAATGCAGTTTAGAAAGATCAGAATTATTATTCTATTAGTTCACATTTGTCTATGTAAAATTTGGGACTTTTTCAATACTTTTTGGAGATCCATCAAGTGTCCCCCATCTACTTGCTTGTTAATTTCCTAAAGGATTTCAATGTATTCATGGCTTCCTCTTATAAAATGCATGGTGACTTTATCACTATGTGAAATTAATTCACACTTCAGCCARTCATGTCCTTTAGATGGCATCCCATCGGTTTCTTTGCTGTGGTCACCAGGCTTCCTTCCTAAAATGCAGCACTCCATTTCCCATTTTGCTGATACTCATAATGTTTTAAGTGAGATTCAGCAGTCCAGCTATTTATATAAGAGCTCCTTTACAATTATGCTTCAAGCCTTTGAGTAACTTGTTATCAGAATGGTATGTGAATGCAACAAATCCTTTAAAAATATAATAAAATATTGTTTTCTTATTCATGGAGAAACATTAAATTCTCTTCAGAATTATAAACAGCCCACTATCAAGCCTGACAAATTTCAACCCTGGTCTACTGACATTTTTAAAGCCTAGTTTTTTGGGAATCCTCCAGACAGGAAACATCTGGTTTGTCCCACTAGAAACCTAAGCCTTTACTCCCAAATTTGCCTTATACAATATACTAATTTTCAAAACCAGAATATAAAATTTTAATTTATTCTTTGATTTTATTAGGTAGTGTACATTAATTGCAAGCACTGTGAGTGTGCCATTGTACTTCATGATTGAGCCTCTTTTTCTAATCTATAATTATTGTCATTTGAGCTTTTTTAATAGCATCAGTTTTACACTGTAAAAATCTACCAGTTACATGTAACTGGCAGACTGTTAAAATTCCTGATTTTGAACCAAGATTCAAGTGTTTGGGTAATGCATTAACAGAATAAGAAAGGGTGCATTATCTCACAAAACATATTGTCTAATCACAATGCAGACAGGGAACAAAAAAAAAAGAGATAATATGATGATATTCAGGCATACAGAAGACAGAACTCTACACATATTGGCAACTTAATTGTTGTGCAATTATTTTCTTACAGGCAAAGAAAAATTTTAAAAAGGAGCAGAGAATTTATAACTAAGGTCTGCTTTACAGATATTTTCAAGGACTCTTCCAAGTGTGAATTGCTGCAAAGGAAAGTTAACGAAGTWTTTATTTGAAAATGTAACTGGTTGACTCTCACGGAATCAGAAAAGACACTAAAAGATCTTCAGAGACAAGACAAGCATATGTGTAATATGACCCAAGTAGGAGGAGAGAGCTGGGAGATCACATTTGTTCAGAAAGCAAAGCTGAAATCTTATTTTTATGACACTTCAAATAGATAGTAACAAGACAAGACTATTTTTATAAAGGCCAAAAGGTGGGGAAGTTGTATAATAAAATTTGATGTAACCTAAGCTTTACGAACAGATGTATACAAATGTCTACCTATACCAAGGATCCTTGACAGAAAGAATCTGTTAGGATAAGCCTGAATGCTAAAAATGAATAGGATGTTCAAATCAGAGAGGATGCCTGCAACAGAATGATCAGAGGGATCTAGAGATTCACACAAAATGTGGTAAAGGTCCATACTAACAATACCAAATTTTCTTCAAATATAAAAGTATTGGGTGATATAGAAGTGTTGGGTGGAACTCTGARCAACATGGAAGGGGGCTGKAACTAGATGATCTTGAAGGTCCCCTCCAACCCAAACCATTGTATGATTCTRTGAACTTTGGTATAATTGTGGTATTTGCCCAAATACTTGATGCAGKGGAAGGACTYCATTGAGTTAAACAGGATTTGAATCAGTGTTGGTCTCACGCTCTCAAACCCAASAAATATAATTTTTTCCCTATAACATTCTGAAAAGGCAACTTGCCTAAATCAAATTAGCATATCAAAATATTGCTGGTACTAATTAACATGTAAATCAAGAGTTATTTAACTGATTAGSATATCAGTGCTTCTCAGAGTCAAGTAATTTTTTATTTTACTTTCTGCAAATATCCCTACCAAGTAGAGTGAGGCAAGTATATGATGACTTAGAAACATGTTTCTTATTTGAAAATTAGAAGATGTAATAGATCTTCATTTTTATGGTCTTGATTGAAATTCAAAAGACAAAGAGACCTAAAGTAATATGTGATTCCCGTTGCATGCAATTGTTTTCTTTAATCCAACAGTTGGCGTAAAACTGTGGGAATCAACTGCTCAAACTCCATTTTACTCCAAGCATGGGGATTTTAAGTTGAGAAATACCAAAATTTCAAGTGTTTCCCTAGCTTAGAACAGGAGCTAAGAGCAGGAAAGATTATTGTCTGGCTKTCTCTGCTCTTCAATTTTCAGTTTTTTCTCACAACCTGAATTATGTAATGTGGAACAGTGTCTCGGTCTTTGGAAGCTATATTGCAATTTATAGTAGCTTTCAATAAAACACTGTATTTACTTTCCTAGCAGAGTAAATTTTAGCTCTTCTGCTCRCTTAAAATTATTTTTAAACTGTTAGGTTTTTTTTGTGAAGACATTTAGGAAAGCAGATATTTTCTGTACATAAAATAGAGTTTATTTGATACTTAYCTAGTTTCACAGATCACAAATCATATGATTACACAAGTATAGGGTTTTTCCTAAGGCAATAACTATTTCTYTATTACTATAATATAGTAATAGAGAAATATTTATAATATAGTAATATATTATAATACTATATTACTWTATAATATTATAATGCAGTAATATTATATTTTATCCTGGTAGGTATTATAATTTGTATTTTACTAAAATGCTAAAAGTAAATCCTGGGGTGGGGTTTGCAAATAGAGGACAGGGAATCAAAGAATCAACACTGCACAAATGCAACCATGAAAACTCAGTACCCCACAGTCAACAGAGCAAGCTGATCTCTTAGCTGCCTCCCTGCATTCTCCATCTCAGCTCAGTACTTCTGCCACTTCCAGTCTAACCAAGGTGCCAAACTCTGCTCTGAGGTGAACAGTGTGCACACAGCAGCTCTATCCTATTTTTCTTTCTCAGAAATATTTAGCATATTAGCAAGGCTGCCTTAAAAATAGGCTTAGGGAGGGAAGCAGGTGTGTGTTTGACATATTTGTCTCCAGTTTTCATGGGGGAAAAAAAAACCCCAACAAATTTAATACATTCTCTACAAATAAATAAGATCAATATTGAGACCCTATTTGGATTTTCTTCCAAAATTTGGGCTGGCTGCTTGGATAAATTCATTCTAAGAAAAACTACGCAGATTTTAAGTAAACAAAAATAACTATCTGAATTAAAATGAATCGTTTTTAATTTAAATTAGTTCTGCAACAAACAGTACAAATCATAAGAGGAATTTACTGCTGCCTTTGAAAGAAAGTACTGCAAGCAGCAGATTAATTTCAGATGTGTTACTTGTCTAATAAATGACCAGTATCAYATTCTAGAGCATTTCTAGGATTTTAGAGTTCCTTTTCAGTCTCACCTYCTATAAGCCTGCTGGTAAAATTGTAGCATCAGTAAGATGATATAATGAGCTAAAAATTAATCTGATTATAGCAGAAACAAATTAAATACTTCACAGCAACATGCAGACTGACCTGTCCAGTAACAGGTTAGGTGCAAACAAAAGCTTTCCTGGGTGTTCCATGGAGCGCCAGACTAAGCCGATCATCAGTATCTCTAACCAGGCACATTCCAGTAGATGGACCTGATCATGGAGTGTTAAATCCACAAATCCTGAAAGAATAAATAGGAGACAGTAAAAACACTCCATTTTTGTAAGTGGAACAGCATCATTCAGAGAATTAGGTTAAAAAGTGTAATAGAGCTGGATAACCAAAAMGAGCAATAAAACAGACATTTGTTCTCTTTGTATTTTGGGCTGAGATTTGTCCATTGTTGTTCCATGCTAAAGATCAATCAGAGCTTTCTAGCCTCCTCTTTTTGTGCTGGCTGTACTCTTCCCAAAAAGCATGGCAAGAGCCTGGACAGCATCTCCATCCCACACCTGTTGCCAGAGGCCTGGGATGCCCAGTGCACGCTGCAGAAAGGGGAATCTGTCTGCCCCAGCACCACACTGCCTGGGACATGGTGGAGRCAAAATGGAAAAATGTGTCCTATAAAATGAAATGACAGCTCTAACCAGCTAACCTCAGAGCAATTCTCTGGGTAGAACGCTGTTTTACAGACTTATGGATAACTCACCATGCTCCAAGTCCAGTACCAACAGAGCATTTCAAATAAAACAGGGAGCAAATGCTTACCATTGCACAGTCAGAATTCACGGATGAAACACCTRTTTATGTTCCTACTGGACTATAGAACTTGGAGGAGGGAGGTGAGCTCTCTTACTTTGTATTTAAACACTAGAGACAATGAATGCAAAATAAGAGATGGCTTATAACAATACCACAAAAAATGAAAAAGAATAATGATGAAGATATGAAGCATAATCACAGTGGTCYTTCCTGTGTTCACTTCATGCAAGAGATTGAATTATTCTGCTTTGAATTCTCACTTTTCATGAATGCTATTTTCAATCCAAAAATAAAACCAAAGGGGAGATTGCATAATACAATTTATTAGTTCTTGGATAAATTATTCCTTGACATTAGAATGGACTCCCTAAACTAAAATATGCAGAAGTTGACTTAAAACAGATCTAATTTATCTTTTATTCAGTGTTACAAGTGAAACATATTATTGAACCTTGCCACATATTTTTTTGTAATTGTAATGATTTCTACTAGTTCAGAATACAGGTTACGTGGTAAATTACCTTACCAGCCCTACAACAGCAGGGATTTCCCTTCTGTACTGTTTCCTCTCTAAAGGTATATACTGAGTCATACCTGACATACACTCAAGTATTATTTTGAGAAAGAGGAAGAAAAAAATTTTAAAGTTAAATGTTCTGCTAGCAAACATATTTTTAAATAACAAAGAAGTAGAGAAGAAACAAAACACAGCTCACAGTAACTTAGAAAATATTGTTACATTTGGTCAACAGTTGTTGATATAATTCTTTTTAATGAAAATATCTGAGTTAATCAATCTATTGGTARGAAATCATCCCAAAAAAGGAAACAGCTTTGACACATCTGAAATAAAACCCACCTCTCAATCATTAGAAGAGAATTTAGGCAGTTGCAATACCTGCTGTTTTTATGAAAGTGGTAACAATAGAGAAAAGAAATTATTGTCTTTTCCTGTATTTTTCCTTTATTAACAAGTACAAAAAATTATTTTCAGACTTCAAAGACTGATGGAATGGCATTTGCCTGAGTCACCAAGCAGCCTGAACAATAGAGCTGAAACTTWAAAGAGCAACATTCTTAACTACAAAGCATGGGTTACAGCACTCAAGAACAAAATTGGCAGAAAGAAAACGTCTGTATATGGAGAACAAATAATAAACACCAGATTTACTATTAAGTATTGCCTTAAAATGACAATACATAATAATTGCCTTGATGGCTTTTKAGGTGACATTKTTAATTTATTACCTTGCTGTTGATAAAACTAGCTAGTTAGTKTAGCTGGTAAAACTATATGTTCTGCCCAGAGAAGYTGTGGATCCCCATCCCTGGAAGTGTTCCAGGYCMGGCTGGATGGGATTTTGGACAACCTGATCTMGTGGAAGGTGTCASTGCCCAYGGCAAGGAGGTTGGAAATAGGGGATCTCTAAGGTCCCTTCCAAATCAAACTGTGATTCTATAAAGTAATCGATTTGATGAAACAAAGTTCTATCATATATTTGATACTGTAAAAGCATGCAACACATTAAGTGAATGAAAATATTTTATATTTCATATTTCAGTATGGCAAAAGGGTAATGAACTGAAGTATTTCTAACAGGACATACAATGGAAAAATTTTAATGATGATGTGGAAAAACAGAGTGKTTTTTATTCAGATGTCCTTTTGGCACATGGGAAATAATGCAAAAGCAGGCTGATAATGTAAGAAATGTAAATCACTCACTAGCTTCATSATGAATAAGTTTAAACCCAAGAACATTCAGCATTTTTACAAGATGAAGCTCTGATATAAATACACAGCATCAGTTGTGAAGGGGACTTATAAATGGTGGAGAAAAATCAGCCGAGTTTGAGCTACAACTAATGAAGACAATGAACTTTTTAAAAAGCCAGGAGAACACTGAGAGCATAAGAAAGTTGAATTATCTCAGTGTTAGCTGAATCTGATAAAYGTCCTGCAAGTGGGATGAGAAGTTGGACAGAAGAGTAGAAAAAGGTCAAAATGAATCAAGAGTTGAAAAATATGCCCTCTGGTGAGGAATTCAGTCACTCTGTGAAGTTTAATAAACTAGAGGAGTTAAAAGACTGCAATGGGTAAATATCTAAAGGGAAAGAGAATAGCATTACGAAAGGTAATGGCATAACCCAGAGCTGGAAGCGAAACCTGCACCAAGTACGACCTCAAATGAGGGACCATTGTTAACAACAATAGTAGTTATTATCTAAGCAATATATTTAATTTCCTTGAATTTGCTCTCATTTGAAATATTAATCAAGATTTAATGATTTTTTAAGACATACTCTTGTTCAAGCAAGTTAATTCAGAACAATGTTACAGAAGGTTAAATTGAATTATGAATCAATCATTAGTCACTTCATCATTTAGAGCATGCTGCACTTTAGTGCTGTTGAAATTATGTGTAGATRTGCAGATAATTCTCGAATTTCAGTGTTCTTTTAATGCTGGAAAGTTTTAAAAATTATTCTAAAAGTATTTTTTCATTTTAAATTTTTGATTACTATGCTTTAAGGAAGAAGAAAACATTCACTTCACTGCTGAAAAATCAATTAATTGMAGTTAATTAACTGCAATTGCAGTAATTTACTGCTATTTCAGTTAATTTACTGTAATAATTAACTCCCTATACCAGACTGACCAGTTTCCTGATCTTATATCAAAATTCTTATGTAGCCAGAGCACACAAGGCCTAGATTGCCACTGGTCCTTTCATCTATTATACTTGACAGGAGAGAGACACAGAGTAAAAGCCATGGTTAGACCATCCTTTCTCTTTCAAATTAACAGTATTTCCAAGGGACTGCCAACAAAGAACACAACAATTGTTCCACAAACTCTTGTATGATTACAGAAATTTGAATTTCTGAAAAGCAAGGATGGTCTTCAGAGTACTCAGCTAGGACTAGGTGGCAAATAAACTTATGWGTAAAACACAAAACTGTAATGTTCAAACTAAACTGATTTTCATTTATAATACAAAGCAGCACTATGTACTGCATCAGTGACAATACGACACAAATCTCTCAGACAACAAGACACTCCAAAGCAGGAGTGGGTCCATGGGGCAAAAGCTATTAAAAGCCCTATTTTAGCAAGCAGGACATTAGATTTGGGAACCAAAAACTGTATGATCCCACCATCCTAAAAGAAATGAAGGCACTGACTATTTACAAAACAAATGAGCAAATCTTTTTGTAACCTGGGASTTTGGGCAAGGMAAGGACTACTGGAAATAGCATTCAGTAAAACACACACCTTTGAGAAAAGTGGTTTATGCACTAAGTTGTTTTATTGCAGTAAGGAACAACATAAAGCTCAGATGATTTTCATTTATTGCTACTGTAACATACAYTGTGAACCTTTCAGTTCTCTAAATAAACACTACCAACATATGTATATGTAGATAGGTGTGCCAAATTTTACCAATCATTTTGATACTAATAAATTCACCATTTGCCTTGGTGAATTTTGACCAAATAAGTAGCTGCCTGTTTTATGAGAAACAATTTCCAYAGCAATTGCCATTCTCTGAGACCCAACATCCAGTGTCATTGCAAATTTAATTCCTCAGCAGTAAATCCTCCACTGGGTACTTACTAACATTAGTAGATCATTATCATAATTTTGCAGTTTCTACTAATACTTATAGGACACAACTACAGGGTGCCCAGACTGCTCAAAATCAGATATATAAAGGTGAAAACAAATGGTGAGAAATTCCTTTTACATTTTATTCAACTCTAATCCAACCTGTATATTTACACTGTATCTCTGAACTATCATGATTGGTCCCTAAAATATGAATGTCAACCAATTTTTGCAAGAAAATAAACATTRTTGTGTCATAAAGAATGACTCTGTCTCCAGATGCTTTGAAGGAAAGTAAAGTAAAAGCAATAAATAGTTTTAAAAGTAAAGTAAAAGTAAAGCTGCAGCTATCAAAGAATCCCATTTACAACAGCAATTGGTACCAGATGTTTATGGCAAAACATACAGCAGGAGGAACATGACCTTCCACAGGAAGTTTCCTCATGTTCCAGAGGTGTGCAGCTCAGACTTGCAGAGCTGAAAACTCTATTTGTGCCTAAAGTCCCTTAACATTTTCCCCTCCAAGTTTCTTCAGCTGCTTTCTGAGCCAATTTAGGCATTTAATGTACTTCAGATATGTTTTATACACTCTGAAGCAGTACTCTCCAGTAAGAAGTTTCACACTCTCAATTAATGTTAGGTAAACAATCTCCTGCTGTTCTGAAAAAAAATCCAAAACATCTCTCTCTGACTTTCATCTAATTATTTCATCTAATACATCTAATTATTTTATTGGAAGATTCCATCATTCCACTTCTCTTTTCCAAACATTTTTAGTATATTCAGTCACTCCTGAGATGAAAGTTATCCTGTTCGCCTTTGAAACAATACTATACTTCATGCAGCATCTTCCAGTTGAACCATAGTCT